CGGCCCGCAAGGAAAAGTGCAGAGGGCGTGTCAATGGGCAATGGGGCGCAATGCCAGATAATTAGGGATGCATCGACAACTGGGCGAATGCCAGCGGAAGCCAACGAGGAGACGCCCTGACGGCGCCAGCTCGCCAGCGGAGCTGCCACGGACTGTCGGCAGACTGCGCACAGGGCCAGTACCCACAGGTGGGGAGACCTGACCAGCGGCCTGCAAGGAAAAGCCCGGAAGCAAGACAATTGCACAAGCAGGAGACGGGCCAGAAAATTAATGCCGAGCAGCAGGACGCGCAGGCCAACAGCTCGATGCCAAGAGTGCACATGCAAGAACCACTGAGCGATAGCCAGCGGAAGCTACGAGGAATCGCCCTGAAGGCGCCAGCTCGCAGGCGGAACCGCCACAGACGCCTGGTGGGGATACGCGAAGCGTCAAGAGTTGCAAGAGGCAACTGGATACAAAGTGCACGTGTCATCAGCATCTGGATCGTCAGCGGGACCCTGTGAAAACTTCCCATGGATGTTTTTTTGATGAGGACGGCGGGGGGAGATGATCATACTTGTCCGTTCTTCGCTGCCCAAGCATCCTACCAAACAACATGCAGACCCATCGAGGGTGCACACGCCATGCACCATGCTGACCACCCCACCACCACTTTGCAATGGCTTTTGACACGGGTGGTCGGGGGTCGACATATTGCCCGAAGTGAGCTGCCACGTGCGTTGGCGCACCTGGCGCACTCTGTGCGCGACGCATCTGATGCACCAGGCGCGCCTGGCACACCTTGGCGTCTGAAGCACATGGCACGCGTGGCGCACCTCGCGAGCGTGGCAGACCTGGCGCCAGTATGTAGAGTGGTTCCCACGAAGTCCATCCGACCTCTGTCTACTCTGAATCTCGGGAGCCACGTAAATGGTGGGAGTGCAGGTGGGAGTCAGCGTATCAGATCGTGGCGTTCCGTCGGGAATTTGACCCCTGCGCCACCTCCTCCCCTGGATCTGGAGGTCTGTACGGAAGTGAGAAAGGGGGGCGCACCGCCTTAAAGTGTCCAAGACGGTCCCACGATGAAGGTTGCCTAAAAATTACCGCGCTACAGCAGACTTGGGCACCCCATGGAAGGGCCGCCAATGGGTATGACACAGGCCCGTTCGCGCCCGGACAGTTGGGATGTGTGGAGCGAGGCGCTCGTTTGGCGTCGGCGACTCCTCCCCCACCTTTCACGACAAAGTGCGCGGACGTTCGATCGAGGCGCTTGCCTTAGCATCCCTAGGGGGGGGGGGGGGGCGCCAGACGCTCGCCCGTTCGAGGCCAGATTGTGGGGATGTGTCGAGCGAGGCGCTCGTCTGGCGCTGGCGGCCCTTCTGCTTTCAGAGCAGATTGTGGAAACGTCTCGAGCGAGGCGCTCGTTTTAGCACCCCAAGGGGGCCGCTTGGGGGTAGTTCGCTCGCCCATTGGTGGACAGATTGTGGGAATGTCCCGATCGAGGCGCTCGGTTTGCACCTTCAATTCAGCTGCATGTAGGGTCCGATGATGACTGCGATGTAGCGCGGCAGGAATGAGATACACATATGGGAATCCTGGCGTTCAGTAATCTCACCCGACGGGACCCAAGATGGCCCTAAGAGGCCCTCCAGGGCCTCCAAGTGAGCCCCAAGAGAGCCCAAAAGGGCCCCAAGAGGGCTCCAAGAGAGCCCCAAGAGGCCCCAAGTGGGCCCCAAGAGGGCCCCAAGAGAGCCACAAAGGCCTTCAAAATGTCCCCAAGATGGCTTCATGAGGCTCTCCGAAATCTCTAACCTCACAATGGTTGGCATCCCTGCTTCACTACACGCACACCTACGCCCATCCTCCAGGCAAATCTCATGGGCATCGTTTCTGGATGGCCTGTTGGGAATGCGCGAGGCTGCAACGATTGGTACCACAGCTCGTGAAAGCCCTCACCCCGAGAACCCACCGATTGCAAAATCGGAGCGGCATAGGCTAACGAATCTGCGTACGAGTTTCCCGCTGGGGGGCCCGCCGTGGCTCCCACCCTGCGGGCTCAATACCGTGTTCTGCGCCGCCGAGTGTGGCAAAATAATAGGAAGGCTCGAGGCGGCATAGGCAGGCAGACTGGAGGGCTTGCTATAGCTTGAGCTGGCTACATGGAGGCTTTAACAAAAATGCTCTCACGGGGGCACCGGGCGCGAGCCAGAGCGGCCCCCCCAGCTGCCAGCGGCACCCGACAGCTTTTCGGAGGCTCATTGTCGGCCCCATCTGGATCAATAAATAGGACTCTAAGACGACTCCAGACGGGCCCAGCCGTCCCCACGATGGGCCCCAGACAGCTAGACGGCCCAGTATACCCCTAAGAGAGACAGAGAAATTAATGCTCCAAGACGGCTGACGGCTCCAAGAGTGCCTAAGCCCGCCCCAAAAGCCCCCCAACAGGGCTCCGAGAAGCCAACTGTCGGCCTCCGAGGAGGGGGCCCTAATTTCCGGGACCTTGATTAATCTATGAAACCCAAGATTTCCCCAAGAGGCCCTCCAAGGCCCCCAAGGGAGCCCCGAAAGAGTCCCGAGAGGGCCCCAAGAGAGCCCCAAAGGCCTTCACGAAATGATCCCAAGATGGCTTCATGGAGCGTTCCGAATTCTCGGCCTTACTTCACAATTGTTGGCATCCCTGCTTCACTAGACGCAAACTACGCCCATCCTCCAGGCAAATATCGTGGGCATTGTTTCAGGATTGCTTGTTGGGGATACGCGAAGCTGCAACGATTGGCCCCACGACTCGTTAAAGCCATGATCCCGAGGACCCACTGATTGCAAAATCAATGCGGCAAAAGCTAACGAATCTGCGTGCGAGTTTCCCCTGCCGTGACTCCCGCTCTGCGGATTTAGCACTGGCATTTTGAGTGTAGTGAGCGCGACGGTAACCGATATATGATATATGCGTTCAGTAGGACGTCGGTTTCCCCGCCAATTCCCATGAATAGTTGACCAGCATGTGCCGAATTAAATTGTCTCGCATTGTGTCGCCCACCCACCTTGAAATCGTGATGTTTCATAATGGTGAGTTCCTGGTGTGAGGACTGTTGCTAAGGAGTGATGGTCAGATCACATTCCCATCAAATTCGATAACCAACCGATGTTCACTTGGACGCTGGCGATATCAGAGTATCCCGACGCCAAGGGCAGCAAGCGACCCTGGCATCATAACCAGCATACAGCATGACAGACATCTGCTAATTTATGTCTAGTGCGAACGCACGCTCGCAGCACAGTTGTTCGAGAGCCTGGGAAGCAATCGACATGCAGCATCGAGCACAACGGAATCCAATGTTCGTGCTGGAGGCAGGCGCCAAAGCGATCTGCGACACTAGATTTACGCAGTGTTCAACGCACAAAGCTACAGCGCAAGAGCAACCCGCTGCCACGACCAAGACCGCAGTCCGCCATAATGGGTGCTCAACTTCGACTCGCAACACGCCCCCCCACCCACACTTTGGCGTCCTGTCAAAAAACACGACAGCCAACCGCTGGCTGCAGCGGCACAGCGTCGATACCGGCAAGCATCATGGCGTAAGCGTGCGGGCAAACATGGCGGCACTCCATCGCACGCACCAGTAAGCAGCAGCTGCAGCGTGACAACATCGCACAATGGAGATACGGACGGACGACGGGTGTCGGGCTACGAACCTCCTTGGTACTAGCAGCCTAGGACAGCCGCTGCTGCCTCCACAAGGTACCTGCCCGAAGTGCAGCAGCTCCTCTCACATCTCACTGTCAGACGACGGCGCCTGCCACATCGACCAGAGGCTGGACTCACGCGTATCACGATTCACGTGACGACGCTGATTCAGCTCAGGGCGCACGACCGTGCGGGGATCACAACACTTCCGCAACGGCAGCGACCAATTCAACTACAGTGTCAAGACACTGTCCACAACGTCGAAACGGCAGCGCACCACCTGTGCGCCAGAGCCCTTCATCAACGTGACCGTGCCGAGCGGGTACGCTACCCATGGTGGTCGACCAGCAACGTCACACGATCCTCGTCCAAGCGAAGGCGCCAAAGCCGCCGCTGCTACGGACCAAAGTGATCGGGGACGAGTAATGGCAGCGACTACGGAGCGCAGGCTGCCTCGTCTGCCGCCGCGCGGGTGGCCCGTCTGGCGCGAGGGTGCCAGGGTTCCCGAGCAGCTCGGCTGCCCTGTCTTCGAGAAGCCGTGAGGACGGTGCGAAGTGGCGGCAGGGGGGGGCCGGGCGCATCCCGAAACGCGTTCATCATGGTCCATCTGAGCGCGCATCGCGTCGTCTGCTGACGAGCTTGCTGATGGGTCTGCAGGCACGCAGTTGGGCCGTCTCCTCGACGCAGCTGCACAACTTACAACCTCGCGCTGGACCTCGCTCTGGCTGGGGGAGTGGTGGCCAGCTCGTACGCTGGCAGTCGATTGCACCCGACAAGCGACGGCGGTCGATGTCCCCAGACCTGAGGACAGATGCAAGATGGACCCACGCTATGGCAGCCGACCCTAGACACCGAGTGAATGCAAGGCTGCAACACCGTTACGCCACGCACTGACGTGCTGCACTGCTCTAAGTGCCGAGCTGCTGCACCTGGAGGTGCTCTCCAGGGCTCCAATTCCAGCATGTTCCAGACCCGCGAACAGCTCGGCCGAGTGAGGCAGAGATGGGTAACTGCCTCCTCGCCCCGACCCCCCCCTCTCCTCAAAACGTCGTCGTCGTCGTCGTCGTCGTCGTCGTCGTTGTCGTCGGGGTCGTCAACGTCGTCGTCGTCGTCGTCGTCGCCGTCGTCGTCTTCGTCGTCGTCGCCGTCGCCGTCGTCGTCGCCGTCGTCGTCGTCGTCGCCATCGGGCCCGCCGCGCTCTAGGCCCCCCAGCCCCTGTGGCATGAATTCGCTCGGCTCTCATGCCCACTGGGTCATCCGAGTCGCCTTGGCCACGGGCGCCTCTGTGATTGTCCGAGAGGGAAGGGAGGGAGGAACAAATGGCTAGGGGGCTTACCTCGAACGGCAGGTAACCGCACACCAACGCGAAGAGGGTGACCCCGCAGCTCCAGACGTCGACCGGAGGCGGATGGTCCGCCAGCCCCCACTGCAAGGGGCGAGGACTGCTGCTGCTGCTGCTGCTGCTGCTGCTGCTGCTGCTGCTGCTGCCACCGCCACCATCACTGCCACCTTTGCGTTTGCTCCTGCTCTCTCTGCTGCTCTTATGCCTCTTCCTCCTCTGCCACCTTGTGACCGTGTTGTGCGTCGCCACAAGTGCTGGACTCAGATATAACATCGCAACCTAGGCTTGACCCAGGTCCGGCGTCGCCACACGTGCTGGATACAGGCGCTAGATAGCAGAACCCTGGGAATGGCCTCCCAGGTTCTGAATCGCGGTTTGGCGGATTTGAATCGCCCACCAGTCAGGGCGACGGGCAGCACGATGGTGTTGGCATCGCGCAAGAGAGCCCGTCCTCGAGAGATATTGCTAATCAGACGCATCTGCCTTCTCAACATGATGATGCGGATATGTGGTCGATGACCTGAAACGCGTGAGCGCCGTCAGCCTGAGGCCAACCGTCCATGCCGCCCCCGAAATTGTGCCGTTCCCTCCTCCTCCTTCTCCTCCTCCTCCTCCTCCTCCTTTTCATCCTCCTATTGCTCCTCTTGTGAGTTCGAGGTCTTTCAGTTTCAAGGCACTGGTGGCGTACGCCAATAGTTTCAGACCGCGGGTGCCTGGTTTGTCCGTTTGTTTGGGTCCTGGTCCGCCCTCGGGTCCTTGGGGGACTTCGCATCCTGCGTGCCTGGAAATCAGATGAACGTACCCGCTGTGAAACCGCGGCGGAGCGAGGACAACTCGGAGCTCCCGCCCTCAAGGGGGCCATTTTCGAATCGGTCTATATATGTATATGTATATATATAGTTTTTGTTTGTTGCTCTCTCTCTCTCTCTCTCGCTCTCTTTCTTTTTTGTTGTTGTTGTTTCTCTCTCTCTCTCCCTCTCTCTCTCTCTATATATATAAATTATCCAGGAGATTCTCCGGCCGGGGCCACACCCTATGCTAGGAGGGGGTGGGGAGAAATCATTTTCCTGATGGTGCCCTGCGTGAGTTCAGCCGCTTTGCGGTCCGTCGCCCGCCCACTTAGGGGCGGAAGAGAGTTTGGGGGCGTGGAAAACGTGTAACCTGATCGAGCCCGAACGGCTGCAGCATGGGAGCGCAAGAGAAAGAGAAAGAGAGGGCGAGAGAGAGAGAGAGAATAGAGAGAGAGAGAGGAGAGAAGCAGCGTGCACAAAGGAGAATCCAAACGTTAAAGGCGGGGCCCTAACAAACACATGCTCTCTGGCTGGGGCCACACCCTACGCTAGGAGGGGTGGGGAGAGGGTCATGTTCCTGATGGTGCTCCGCGTGAATCCAGGAGCTTTGCGGTCCGCCGCCCACAACGCTAAACGCCAAGGGACCCCTGGCCACCTTCCCACTGCGTCCTGCGGCGTTGCGAACTCAGGCGCAGCATGAAAGCCAAGAGAGGTGGATGGTGGATGTCCAGTGCTGGAAAGGTGCAACTCTGGCCAAACACGGATCTGTCCTGATGGCGCTAAAAAACACCTTCCGGGCGGCACCGCCCGGCAAGCTGCAGGAAAGGGGCGTCCACAACAAGTGCTCGCGGCGGCTCCTGCGCCGGGTGCGAAGCACTAGCTGGCGCAGAAGTCCAGAGGGGCGGCGCGCGAGCTCGCGCCCCCGGGGGTTCAAAAAAGGGGCGGGAAAAGGGGGGGGAAGCTTCTGCGATGCTAGCGACGAATGCCCTGCTTGCCGCCGCCCGCTGGGGGTGGGGCCGCACCCGCCCAGGGCGGTGCTGACCCAGACCAGAGAAGAAGGCGCGGCGAGAGGCTGGGGACACCCCTGGGGCGGCACACCCTACGGGTGCTGGCCCAAGGGGGGCCAAAACGAAAGCTCAACGGGAGGCTGGGGGCGCACCTACGGGTGCCGACCCAAGAGGCCAAGAGAAAAGTTGGGCGCCAGCTAGCCGTCGCCGAGTTCCAAATTGGGCCACCTCCGCGCCCGCGCGCCGTCGCGGGCCGGAGGGGCTGTTCCGCCTCCCCGCTAGGCGGCGTGTGCCAGCCAGGTCTGTTGCGGCCTTCCCCCCAGGGAGGGCGGCGGAGGGCGCGGACGGCCCGGGCGGCTTAGTAGTCCAGGGGCTCGTTCCCGATCGCCCGCCGCGCCCAATGCACGTGCCCGGAGTAGCGACAGTTGATCAGCATCAGGTCGCGGTGGTAACTCATGAGTTGGAAGAGGTCCTCCCCGTGATCCACCGCCGCTCCTTCCGTCCACGTATGCCCACCGTACTCTGCGCCACCTCGGTGAGCCGCGCCGCCGCGTCTCCCGGGGGGACCCTCCCAACCGTGCCCGCGGCGCGGTTCGGTGGCCGCACGCTCGGCCGCCAGCGGGGGAGACCCAACTCCGAGGTCAAATGCTTCCACCTTGGCTCCGTCCGTGGATATCTCCCAGCTATCCTTCCTGCGGTCCGGGACCCAGTCGGCCACCAACCTCATCTCGGGCTGGTCCAGGTACTCACTGGCGCCGAAGCGGGCACCTTGGCTTGCCTCCGTCGCGCGCGGCGGGCGCGGGGGGACTGGGCCCGGCCGAAAACTCCGTCCACCTCAATGCTGTCCACCGCTGGTCCTCCTGCCCCGGGTTCTTTGGCCTGCCCGCCCGGGGCCTCTCCTGCCTCCGCCCGCCGGGGTTGAGCGCGGGCGCTCGCGGCTGCCTGGTCGGGAGGGGAGGGCGCCCTGGCGCTCCCACCTCTGCCCTTAACTGGTAGCCCCACTGCGTGTGGCTTCTACAACTCAACCTTTCCGCGGCGGTGGCCTGCCTCGCCACTGACAGACGCTGACCTTCGGCCGCGGGCCGGACGGGCGGGGCTTCCACCAGGGTCGCGGCTGCGCCCCCCCCCCCCCCTGCGCTTGAGGGGGAGGGGCCCGCCAGACCCCACGTGGGAAGTGGGGCGTTTCCGGCCGCCGCCCGTCGCCGACTCGCACTCAAGTGCCCGCCTGGATGTGCCGAGCGGTCAGCACCACCGCGGCCGCGTCGGTCGCGCCAAACTACTTGGCCGCTGCGCGCGCGCACGCGCGGGCTAGCGCGGCCGCAGAGATGCACAAGCCAGCGCCAAGCTCTTATCGTAATCGCCGCCGCACGAGGTTTGCAAAACAAGTTGCGGGTGGGTGGGTGGGATGTTTGCGCGAGCAGTGGAGTGGACAACTCACTGCGAACAGAAACTAATTGCACCACATAGAACGCACCACATAACATTGCACCGCGTACATTGCATTGCACTGGTTGCTGTACCATATAGATTGCACGGCACAGAGTGCACCGCATAGATTGCATCACATAGGTTCAATCGCATACGTTGGACCACATGGATTGCACCGCGCAGACTGCAATAACCTACTGCTTGCGGACCATGATGGCTAACATATGTATACATATACAGATCAGCAGATGCCAAACCGAACATACGATCAAGAAACATATCGCTTTAGAACTATGGGCCAGCTTGCCATACGTTCTCTCAACAAACCTGGGCCAATTTCTGTTGTTCGCGCTGCAGGGACAAACATGGTCAAGAAACTGGGACAGCTTTCAGGCAAGTTGGTGAAGAAACGCTGACCCAGCTTTTCGGGAGGAGGTTTCTTAATCAAATGCAAAGCTGTAGTTATATAGATATACTGATAAACGGATATGCTGCCTCCACCTCCCCCATCCATTTCGGGCGTGCAGAATGCGAGAGAGCAACCGCTACCCTCTCCAACTTCCCCTGGATATTGCGCGTGGGAGCGTCAGTGGGCAACCATTTGCCTCCGGGGCAGTGGTTGCTCTCTTTCTTGCTTTCTCTCTCTCTCTCTATCTCTCTTTCCCTCTCTCTCCCTCTTTCTCCCTCTCTCGCTTCCCACACACACACACACGCGCAACACAGAGCGGGCAATGGAAGGGAGCGAGCGGTTACCCTCACACTCTCCACGCACACGCGCAGAGGAGGGAAGGGAAGGGAAGAGTTGTTGCGCGTTCACTTTCTCTCTCTCTCTCTCTCTTCCTCTCTCTGTCTCTGTCTCTGTCTCTCTTTCTCTCTCTCTCTCCATCTGGCATATATCGAACGGGATCTATCATAGGCCGTAGAGAGGCGAAATATCGACACATAGAGAGATAAGCAAAATAGTGATAGGAAAAGAAACATACACATACATATATATATATATATATATATATATATGTATGTATATATAACAAAGAGAAAGCGAGGGAGAGAGAGAAAGAGAGAGAGAGAGAGAACAAAAAAAAAGTAAAGAAAGGACGAACGAACATCCACCAACAAAAACACGGGAACGTCCAGAAACCGAGTCGGTCCCTAGGAGGCCTAAGAGGGCGAAAACGAGGGAGGGGCACTGGTATCGGTACTGTGCGCCACCCCTGAGTAGAAGAAAGAAACGTCATAAGCATACACGTTCGACGGTCCGCGCGGATTTCGTGGATCTTCGCTGGATTCCCTCCCTGGCAGGCGGAGCGTGCCAGGAGCGGCGCCGGAGGCGACGCCAGGGGGCCCCAGCACAGATCCGACAAATTCTCGCGGACCGTTGAAAGTTTATGTTCGTACATTTTTTCTTATCACGTGTGGGCCCCTTCTGAGGTCCGTAGCCGACGCCGCCGACCGCCGCCGCCGCCGACGACGACGACGACGACGACGATAACGACGCCGACCGACAACGACGACGACCGACGACGACGACGACGACGCCGACCGACGACGACGACGACGATGCCGACCGACGACGCCGACCGACGACGACTACGACGACGACGACGACGCGGATCGACGAAGACGACGACGACGCCGACGTCGGGGCGCCGCAAAGCTCCCAGGGATATTTGTTCCCAGCGATCATCTCCGGCGCGGCGTAGCACGGGGAACCGCAGGCGGTCTGGAGCAGCTGCCCGTCCTGCCGGAGCCGGCGGGAGTCGCCGGGCGGAGCAGCGAGCGTCGGACGACGACGACGAGGACGGGGAAGATGACGACGAGGACGAAGACGAGGACGAGGACGACGAGGACAAGGACGAGGACGAGGAAGAGGGCGACGAAAAAGACGACGACGACGCCCACGACGACGACGACGACGACGACGACGACGACCACGACGACGATGACGAAGACGACGACGACGACGACGACGCCGACGACGACGACGACGACCATGACGACCACGCCGACGACGACGAGGACGACGACGACGAGGACGGCGAGCGTCGGACCACGCAGCTTCCAGGCCCACCTCTGGACGGGGGCGCTGAGGCAGGGAGCTCGCCCGCAGGAGCCCCGTGTGCGAAGGCATGTCTGGCACACCGGTTTGACGGGGGACCCTGCGGGAGAGCTCGCTCCAGGGGAGGGGGGGGGTTCCTGGCGGCTGCGCGCAAGAGTGACCCTGGGCAAGAGTGACCTTTGATGCGCGGCTTGCGGCGGCCGTGGGGAAGCCGAATCCAAGCGCGCACGCCACTGCAGGAGGGACCCCTGTGGACACAGCCCGAAGGTCACTGCGGCGAAAAGTCACTCTCACATACTCTTTCGCGTAGCCGATCTCGGCGGCGCTAAAGCTGCCCGAAGCTGGCCTGGCCTACACCCCTGTCTAGAATGAATAACACATCAAGCTAGGCATGGACTTCACTTCCAGCGTTTTAAACGGTAGTCTAGGTCCAGACATACGACAAGACTCCACAAAAAAACAATATGTAAGAACACGCCCAAGGTCCAGTCAACACTTTCGATTTTCGTAAAAACGAAATCTGCAGCCAGCGGGAGTCGTCGAAGGGCGGAACAGCGAGCGTCAGACGACGACGACGAGGACAAGGACGAGGATGACGACGACGAGGACGACGACGACGACGACGAGGACGAGGACGACGAAGACGACAACCACAACGACAACGACGACGACGACAACGAGAACGACGTCCACGACGACGAGGAGACTGGTGCGGCAGTTTGCGGAGTACCTCCTGGATTTTTCTGGAGGAGAACTGTTGGCAGACTTTTGAACGGTTGTCCCAGGGTCGAGGGGGGGGCGAGGAAGGTCGTTGGATGGTTTTTTTCCGAAAACCATCCAAGATACCCGCCCAAAACCTTCCACGAACCTTCCAACATGTAGTAGGTTCGCCCAATGCATTCAGAAAGCCTCCCCAACACCTCTAAAACAATATTCAAACAACCTTCCAACAACAAAATCTTCAAAAACATCTGCTGAGGGCTTCCCAAGGCAACCGTCCAAACACCTCAAACACCTTCAAACAACCTTGCAAAAAGCCTTCCCGTGGAAAATTGTTGAAAACCTTCCAGAGTGACACGAAATCCCCGAGGAATGTAGTTGGACGGATTCTTCCCGAAGATACCTTCGAATACCTTCTCCAGGAAGGATTTTAAAACGTTCTTTTGGAGGAAGCCTCCCCAAAGCGCTTGTCAAAGAGGGTTTTCGGGCAGACTTTTGAAGGGCACCTTCCAAACATATTACATCAACCTCCCTGATGAATGTTTTGGGGGAATGTTGGAACTTGTTAGGAAAGTGTTCCGGGGGCCTCTTCCAACTGGCCAAAAATCATCCTGGGGAAGGAATGTTGGAACGATTATTCCGGGGGAATATTTCCAAAGGACCTTCCCTGGGAAGGTTGCCGGGCGTTTTTTGGGAAGGCGCCCTCCGCGAAGCCTTCCCGAGGCAGGTTCGTGGAAGGTTTCTTCTGGAATTTCTTGTGAGAAAACCTCCAACAAAAACCTTCCTCGGGAAGTTCGTTGGAAGGTCCCCTTCCCCAAGCGGGTGCTTGACAAGTTCTTTGGAAGGTGCCCCGCAAAAGACCTGATCCAGACACCTTGCGGGGCAGGCCCGCGCGGGCGGGCTGCGCGACGCTTTCAAGCGGCCTCGCCCAACGAGGGCGCCCGAGCGGCCAGGGGGGGGCCGCGGCAGCGCCGCGGGCCAGCCTTCGGAGATGGAGGGAGGAGAGGAAGGGGGCCGAGATGCTGCAGACGACTGCAAGCGCGCGCGCGCTGCGGCGAGAAGAGCGCGCACCCCCGCGCGCTGCGCAAGTGAGCAACCGCCACAGGGCAAACGCGCGGCGCGCGCCCGCGGGGGTCCATGAGGCGGGACAGGCCTAGGCGGCCTCGTCCAACGAGGGCGCCCCAGCGGCCGCGGCAGCCGTGCGCAGGCTCAACGCCCTTGCGAAGTGACAAGAGTTTGGCGGGGCGGCCGCGAGCTCAACTGGCCAGTCAACGGGGTCAGCATCCACGAATGAAGCGACAGGGGCGTCGCGGGCGTCCGCGAAATTGGCGACGCGGGCCCTGGCGGAATCAGGGGGGGGCGGCAAGCACAGAGGGGGCGGCAGCACCTTGCAGGCAGCGCTCCGCACTGCAAGCTCGTCGCGCGCGACGGCGCCAGAAGACGCGCGGGACGTCGGTGGCAATGCAGAAGGCGGTCGCGCCTGAACTCCACGCGCAGGCGGGGGTCGCGGCAAGCCCCGCCAGCGACTTGGCGAGCGGCGCGCCCTACGCCGGAAGCAAATGGGCTCGCCGAGTTCGGGGGCCGCTCGGGCCGAAGGTCGATAGCGGATCGGCGGGGTCCAAGTACTGAAACACCAACGCAAATATCCTAACCACCGCTCTCTCCGAGCAAATGGCGCGCTGCGTCGGATGCGACGCGCGAGCCCCAGGTGCGGGGATGGAAAGAATTGCGTCGCCTGTCGGATCAAGGCGGTCGCTCGGTGGTGAGAGGTCACAGCGGCGAGCGCTCAACATATCGCCTGGCTTTACGCGCGCGGCGGACCCGGCCAGGAGGAGGGCGGCTATGGCGGGCCAGTCCCGTGGGAGGCACAACGCCACCATAGCGCGCAGCAGCGCTCATTGCAGCGGAAGCGAAAGGCTGGTTAGCGGGAACAACTTCCAACGCCCAGCCACATTTCACGCCCCGGTGAGCGAAGCCTCCCAGTGAGGGCGGCGCGCTTGGACGCCCAGGATCGCACGCATCAGCGTGCAATGCGGAAGACCGGCGTCGTGCTACCACGCCCCGAAGGTCGCGGGCGCCCTCGCGAGCAGGGTGCCGTCGTGATGCAGAAGGGTTGTCGATGTCAAAATCAAATGCTCAGCGCCCTACGTGTCAAATGAATCGAGCGCGCGAGTGCACCTGTCGTCGCCGGCGCGCGCGGGGGGCAAAGGGCCTCCGCTCTCCCGCCGAGGGCCTCGCAGGCTACCCCGGGGAGCGCAGGCTCGGGGTAAGCGGGCCGCGCTCCTGCTGACGCGTCGCGAGGGCCGCCGCTGGCGCCTCCCGGCCGGAAGGCGTGGCGCGAGCGGCAGCAGCCGCTGCGGCGGGGGCCCGCCCCAGCTTCCGAGCGCTGCGGGCACTAGCGACCCGAGGTTCCCCAGGTGGTGCCGGAGCATCCTCGGCGGGGCCCGCGCTGACAGCCCGCGACGTTCCCTGAGGCCCGAAGGTCAAAGGCCTCGGCCGATGCGCCGGTGCTCGGAGCGGCCCTCGATTGGCGGCCCACGGCGACCAGGATCAAGGCCCGAGGCCTGGAGAGCGCTCGCGCCGCCCGCGGCCAACAGCGCGCAGCGCCCCGAGACCCGCGACCGAGCGCGCGGCGGCGGGCGCTGCGGAGCGCGGACGCTCGACGAAGCTGATGGCGACCCGGGGCCTGGCAGGCGCCGCGGAACGCAGGCGCCCGGCGGGGCGACGCTCGCCCAGATGTGGGGCTCGGCCGTCCGATCGACACTCACTTGGCCCCGACAACGTCGCCATTTCTGGCCGTGCCCGCGCGCTCTGCCGCCTCGACTGCAGCTCCAGCGCTGCCGGCCGTGGCGGGCGCGTTCGGGGCTGCGCCGGCCGCGGCTGCAGCGGCGCTTCCAGCCGAAGAGCGCGCGGCGGGCGCGGCCCTTCTGACGCGTTCGGCAGCGCGAGATCGGGCGATGCGCAACGCAGCCTTCTGCTACTCGAACTCGGCCAAGAGCGACTGCATGCGCCCCGCCAGCTCTCTCCCGCGCTTGGGCCCCCAACCTCCGCGCCTTGCCCCAATTCAACCGCGTCGAGAGCGGCGTCGCAGGCATCGACCGAGGCACAGAGACGCGCCAAAGCGCGCCGTTCGACACGTGCGCGCCTCGCAACCGCGGCCGGTGAGCCAACGACCCGGCTGGTGCGCAGCGAATGACAAGTGAGCTCATCGGCTCGGGAGTCGGCGAGGTGGCCGGCGTGGGAGTCGGCGAGGTGGCTGGCGCGGGAGTCGGTGAGCTGGTCGGCGCGGGAGTCGGCGAGCTGGTCCGCGAGGGCGTCGGCGAGCTGGTCGGAGCGGGAGCCGACCATCTGGTCGGCGCGGGAGTCGACGAGCCACGCGGCGCGAGCGTCGGCGATCTGGTCGGCGCGGGGGCCGGCGAGCTGGACGGCGCGGGAGTCGGTGAGCTGGTCGGGCTGGCAGTCGCTTAGCTGGTCGCCGCGCGAGTCGGCGAGCTGTTCAGCGTGGGAATCGGCAGGACGGTCGGCGCAGGAGTCGGCGAAGCTGGGAGCCAGCGAGACGTCGCTGCGCTCTGCGCCGTGGCCCCGCGGAAGCACGGGCCCGCGTTGCGCCGCCCCTGCGGCGGCCGCGCGGGCAGCCCGCTCGCGGGCAGCACGCCCCATGACCGCTGCGCCCAACGAGCGCCTGGCAAGCAGGGCAGGCGCAGAGCTGGCGCGCGGCGCGACGCTGCAAGCGCAGGTGCAGCACCCTGGCAACGGTGGCGGAGTGCTGGCTCGAAGAGGCGGGGACTCCGCGGCCGCGTTGTTCCGGCGGCCCCCAGGTCGGCCTCCGCGCGGCCCCGCGCGCGTCGCAGGGCGGCAACAGGGATCGCGGGGGCCTGCTCCGCGCGACGTGGAGCAGCCCGCGATCCTGGGGCGCCGTAGCCGGCGCCCTCGTTCGGCCCGGCGTCTTGGGAAGCGCCTGG